TCGTGAGAACCTGAGAAGAGAAACTAGGGTGACAGGGTCAGTTTCACAGAGACAGAGTTAAATCTGCATCGCTCCAAACCCCTAATATTCCACAGACTGTATGTAGTACTGGCATAACTGTCTAGACAGACTGATGACATTTCCAACAGAAACATAAAGAAGTGTGCTTTGTTTTTATGGGGAGACAGGGTCTACGTAACCATGGCTGGCCTAGAACTTAATATATGGGCCAGGCTGGCCTTGAATTCATAGATCTGTCAGTATCTGTCTCCTGAATGCTGAGGTTAAAGGCATACTCCAATACACCCAGCTTGATATGACTTTCAATTTCAGAGTGTCTTTATCTCTATATGAAGAGATTTAACATTTGGGCAGGGATGCACACCTTTAATCCCCACACTTGGGAAGCAGAGGCAGGTAGATCTCTGTGAGTTCAAGGCCAGCCTGGTCTACAGAGTGAATTCCAGGACAGCCAGGACATTACACAGAGAAACTCTGTTTCAAAAAAACAGAAACAAACAAAGAAAAAAACAACCAAACAAAAAACCCCAAACCAACAGATTTAACATTTTTATTGTAGAGGCCCTTCAATTCCTTTCTTAGATTTATTCCTAGATGGTTTTTTCAAAGCTATTGTGACTAGCAATGTGTCCACGGTCTCTTTCTCTTTACGTTTGTTATTGCTACATAGAAAGACTATTGCTTTTTTGCAAGTTGCTTCTGTATCCTGCCACCTTGCCGACATTGTTGATTGGCCCTTGAAGTTTGGGGGCAGAATTTTTGGGATCTTCCATATAGATGATATTATCTGCAAATGGGGAATGTTCGATTTCTTCCTTTCCTATTTGTATAACTTTATTTTCCATGCCTTATTACTTCAGCTAGTCACTAGCTGCTAGTGCTTTGAACACAATCTGGAAATGGAGTGAGGACAGTGACTATTTATCTTTAAACTGGGAGAAATTTAAATATCAGTTCTATAAATCGTAGTAGCCATGTTTCAAGGGCTCAACAGACATGCTTGCCCAGTGGCCATGAAGGTGTGGACTGTATTCATCATTGCAGGTAATTCTGTCAGGCTGCATTGTTGGAGCTGGTTGAGAATTATTTTTAAAAATGTAAAGCCTGGAAGCTACAAGTTCCAGGATCACTACCTTGATAGGTGGCCAGGGCTGCTGCTTCTGCTGCAGTGGACAACAACCCTGGGCATGCTCCCTTTCCGCAGCAGTTGGCACCCAGGCTTTCCTGTACAAACAAAGTGAGCGACTGTGACACACTCACAACTTGGACTTAAGAAGTGGAACGTGGGGCTGGAGAGATGGCTCAGCAGTTAAGAGCACTGGCTGCTCTTCCAGAGGTCCTGAGTTCAATTCCCAGCAACCACATGGTGGCTCACAGCCATCCATAGTGGGATTTGATGCCCTCTTCTGGCATAAAGTCATACATTCAGACAGAACACTCATATACATTAAGAGGAGGAGGAGGAGAAGGAGGAGGAGGAAAGTTGTTGAATGTGGACTACAGAAGCAAGTACTTCTTTAAGCAGCTTTCTTCCAGTGCGCATCAACTCCACAACAGTAAATACAAGCTACCTTGCCATTTTTATTATTACTGCCATCATTATCTGATCGTATCAGACAAAAATCTCAAATGCTCTGTAATAAATACATTAATTATTTTATGGCTTTTGGTACGGACTCAAGTTGTTGGGCGAGTCTAATAATACCCAGATTGTATCTTGCCATTTTTTCTTTACAGAACATCTCAACGAGCTAGAGCCGTGCCGGGCGTTTCCTAACGGCGAACAGAGGACAGACAGTTGTGACGGTCTCTGAGCTTTCAGGAGGATTGCACATGCGAGTCTTCCATGTTTGTGCTGCAGTCGTTCGGCTGTCGGTGTCAGATTGTATGTCAGTGAATGCAGACCGGCTGAAGCCAGCCGATACACTGGTCACTAACTTTGAATGCCTGTCATCCTGACAGTCAGGAAGGTGTAGCAGATCTCAGAGCTCTGAGGTCAGAGAGGCGTCTGGTGTTAAGCTCTGATGCTTACTCGATTACTTGAGTGATTAACTTGGTCTTTTGGAACTTTTGTTTCTTCGTCTCTGAGTTAGAGATGGCAGCAGAACCTATATTAACTCTTTAAAATAATAACTATGAAGGGAACTCCTGCAGATCCAAGCATTGGAAACATGGTGCCGGCCAAGTCTGGCCCTTTCCTCTTCCCTAGGTTCCCTTGCTAAACCGTTAGATTCCATTCCTAAAGCTGGTCCCCAAAGTCTATTCCCTTATTAGCCCACTTCCTTATACCTAGCTAAAACTCCAAGGTCCAACTATCAAAACACCAAGGTCCAGCAATTAAAATTCACTATTTGGCTACAGTGACTATCATATCCAATCGGGATTTACCAGCTCATTCTAACACAGATTCCCTATTCTAACACAGATATCTATCTCTCATACACAAATAATGAAATTAAACTAAATATACAGATGCAGAGCTATCTGCTACTGTCTTTGATCAGTCCAGAGGCAGCATGGCACCGCCCCCCCCCCAAGATAATAAAATCCCCTTCGTGCTGAGAATTTGGTGTCTGGGGTGTGTTCGGTGCCAACTCTGATGCCCCCTCAGTGTACATTTTCTTCTCTGGGTATCCCATCTTGAAAATACTGCCTTGATTGAACTTCTGAAAATCCACTGCTAAGCTGCAAGTCATGAGCTGTTCAAGAGATCGTTATTTCTTAATTAGAAATTAATTTACCAAGGCAGGTGAAAAGAATCAAAAGTGCAGTTGTGTTTTGAGGATGGGGTTGGATAGCTCAGGGACAGGAAAGAAAGGCTTCATTTTTACTAAATTTCCATTTGCCTTCTTTAAACTTTATGCTATATGCATTTAATGCCCATTCAAAGCTCTCTGGAAAATTTGAAAGCTCCACAGAATGCTCATATTATAGCATTTCTGTGCTAAATGCAGTCAGGGAGTCTGAATGCTTTCTTTTCAGGGTTTCCCACTCGTATACAAACCACACTGACAAGGAACTAGTGGGGTTTTTGTTGTTGTTCATCATTTGGTAGATAGGACAATTCACAGCAGTGTTTTGTGTGTGTGTGTGTGTGTGTGTGTGTGTGTGTGTGTGTGTGTGTGTGTGTGTGTGTTCTCACTATGCAATCCAGGTTGTCTTTGAACTTGCACTGATCCTCCTGAGTACTGGGATTACAGGAGTATGCCACCATGCACGAGAGAGCATTTAGTACTTTTTTTTTTTTTTACATTTGTGTAAATTGAGTGAATTCTATGGAAAGGGGGAGACTTTTTTTCTCTTGTACAGCTTGTCTTTTCATGAAGCACCACTAGGTGGCAGCCATGCCTTCCTGGGCAATATGAGGCTTGGGAATTAGACATTTGGAAAACAAACCATTAGCTCAAAGAACTTGAGATCAAAATGGTTAAGCTAACCGGTTGAGAGCAGTAAAGTGTGAATTGTCAAATCAGCTGACATATAAGGTATATATGGATCATTTGCTTCTGTTGGCTTCTGCCACCTACAAAATTTAAGTCCAAAGTCTAGAGTCTGATTCCTCAGCTGCTCTTTCCCTCTACCTGCTTCTTAACTATTTGTCCATCATCTAAATGTCTCTCCGGGCTCTGGTGGGCTGTGCCCTCCATGTGGGTGGGCACCTATGTGTTTCTCCAGTTCCTGCAGCCTGCTACGCCTCTGACCTGCTAGACCCATGTGGACACTTCATTCCTGCTCTTTCTCCTCTGCTTCTCTGGCTACCTGCTCTATCTCTTTTTGTGCCTTTCTGGGCCCGTGAGTTTCTCCCCCTAGGAGCTGCCTGCTAAGTCCCCCAGCTTCCTTAAGTCCTTCTGACCTCTGCGACCCTGCCCCTCCTGTCTCTCAGCTCCCTCCCGGAAGTCAGGGCTTTATGTTATTGGGACCCTCCCTCGGTGGAGTTCCAGCGCGTTGTTCCTTGTCCGTTAACCACTCCTCTCCTATGTCTCTCTGGCTCCTGGGAGTCTGCTATGCCCTCAGGGCACCCACCACTTGGGCAACTTTCTACTTGCATTTTTCGGCTCTGACCTGCGGCACTCATCTGGGTCTCTCTACTAAAGACACTTACCAGTGTCGTCGTCGTCGTCGTCGTCGTCGTCGTCCCCCCCTGTCCCTAGGAACTCAAGTCCCACTACACTAGCTCTCAGCTCCCCCCTGCTGTCCCTCCGTGTCTAGTCGCTCAGCTCCCTCTCAGAGCTTATAGAAATTCCCTCCAGCAGAATTTCGCTTTCCCACCCTCTCTCCTTGACTCAAACAGCTTGGCCTCGGTACAGATCAATGGCTAAAACTTGGCACACTTTATTTCCAGGTTCTCACAAATCCTAACAGCTGTGTGATTATCTTGTTTTGACCATCTGTTATGTTCTGTCCCGTAACCCTGCCTATTTTCCCCCGTTTGGGGAGCTGCCCACCCCTGAGCTATAAGTCTTGTCTCCCTCACATCCAATGCTGACCTCTCGAAACCTGCCCTAGGGGGTGGCAGCCTGTGTACTGAAGGAAAAAGCTTGCTTTAATGAATTTGGCCATGAGGATTTGGGCTGTGGTCTTTCTCCTCCCATCGTTGAGATTAACGTTTGGAGTTCCCCAGCAAGATCAAGACCCCCAACCCAAATTCAGAAATTCAGAAGCAGGAAGCCCTCCAGGACTGAGGAGCTGCTCTCTAGGGCATGCATACTTTAGAGATATTCCAGGGCCCTGAGACGTGACTTCCGTTTTTCAGACTGCCTGAGTGAATAGCTGCATCAAAAAAAGAAAAAAGAAAGAGAAAAACAGCTGGTTTAATGCCAGCACTTGGGAGGCAGAGGCAGGCAGATCTCCAGGTTCGAGGCCAGCCTGGTCTATAACGTAAGTTCCAGAACAGGCAGGAATCACAGAGAAACTCTGTTTTGAAAAACCAAAATCCAAAAAGAAAGAAAGAAAGAAAAAGAAAAAGAGAAGGATAGAAAGAGAAACAACAAGCACGCACGCACGCACCCTTTTTTTTCTTTTTCACAGAGGCCTCCTCTGGTAAGTCATAGAAGCTTGCTTGCATTTGTTTGTTTGTTTGTTTGTTTATGACATCTGGTTTCTGGTTTTCTGATTCTGTGGGATCCTGATCTGGGGATGGAAGGGGGGGGGGTGTTGGGGAGGGTCCTGAGAAGGCCAGGCATTCCCCTGTCCAGCTGCAGTAGCCACCAAGACAGCAGAACTGGGCTTTCTCCTGCATTCCCTTTGTCCAGAGACTCTGAACAGGTGGGGTTGGGAGAAAGGGAGAGAGGAATGGGGCTGCCCAGACTGCAGGAGCGAGCCAGAGGCTCCAGCTGGACACTCTGGGTGAACACAGGTGTGTTGTCACTTTGCTCTGTATCTTGTCTCGTGTGCTGCTCGCCTTTGTGCGTTCTAAACGGGGTGGTGAGTTCTATGTGTTGACTTTGTTTGTCCTCTCTCCATCTCTTGTGTGTCTCTCTTTCTTTCCTTCCTTCCTTCCTTCCTTCCTTCCTTCCTTCCTTCCTTCCTTCCTTCTTTCTTTCTTTCTTTCTTTCTTTCTTTCTTTCTTTCTTTCTTTCTTTCTTTCTTTCTTTTTGAGACAGGGTTTCCCTTTGTAGCCTTGGAACCTGTCTTGGAACTCGCTCTGAGCACCAGGCTGGCCTTGAACTCACAGAGATTGCCTGCCTCTGCCTCCCAACTGTTGGGGTTAAAGGTGTGAGCCACCACTGCCCAGTTTTGTGTGTATTTCTATGTCAGTTACAGGTAGACTTTGGAGCTGGACCAAGCTTTAACCACCACCGCTCCCACGCCCCTAGGCTGGGACAATTCAGGCACCGAGCCCAGAATGCTACCCCGTGTGCACCCTTTGTGCACTCTCCAGCCCAGCATGCCACCCCGTGTGCACCCTTTGTGCACCCCCCACCCCAGCATGCCACCCCGTGTGCACCCTTTGTGCACTCCCCAGCCCAGGCCCACATCCACCACTGCCGCTTGCCATAGCTGCTTTGAAAGCCAAGGCTCTGAATCCCTCATCTCGGAGCTTTCTGGTTACTGGATTAAGTTCAGCAGGGATTCAAATGTCTTTTGGGTATGGGCAGTGATGATGACTATTGTTTTAATTGCCTAAAATTTTTACTAAGATATAAACCTTATCTCTGTTATATGAGTCTTTCTGTGCCTCGGGATTTGTAAGTTTATTGGATGTAGTTAAAAATTTATAGAATCTGTAACAAAAGTTGATTTAAAACTTATAACACAAGGTTAATATTTAGAAGGCTACATCGGTAATCTTAAAACAAAGACCTAGTCCATGAATGTTGATAGTGCTGGCCTAATATTCAAATGTGCTAACCTTGTTTTTAAAACCCTGTAGCTCTGCTTCTGATGGTTTTTGTTAACTGAAATATGCCAACCCCAAACATGGTTTTTTAAGCTTAAAGGCCCACCCTGAGAAAGAGTCAAGGTTACACTAGAATCCCAAACACCCAGCATAGTCACCAGCCAACTAAATTTAGGGGCACAACTACTAAACACCAGACACTGGGATATCCCTATCTTATGATGCAGCAAGACAATGATCTAAGCAGTCTGGAAAAAAGAAACGTATAAAATGTCTCACCAGGTGGTGGCGGTGCACGCCTTTAATCCCAGCACTCGGGAGGCAGTGGCAGGCGGATCTCTGTGAGTTCGAGGCCAGCCTGGTCTCCAAAGTGAGTTCCAGGAAAGGCACAAAGCTACACAGAGAAACCCTGTCTCAAAAAAGCCAAAAACAAAAAAGTCTCTCCCCTACCTAAGGTCTCTTCAGGCTGACAGAGACTGATTTAAGAATGTGTATCCAGCCCTCGTGTCTTTGCTAACCTTGCTAAGCTTAGGTATTTTGATAAACGTGTCACACACAATATTCTGCAATGGTGTACTAAGAAAGGACCAGGAAAGTAAAGTTGTCAGTCTCCCTATGGACTGTAGTTAAGATTTAAAGTTTTATTTTGATACTAAAGAAGTTTCAGTTCAAGAATTATAATTTTTAAGGCTAAACTTAACATGGATAAAACTGTAGAATACTAATCTTATGAAAACTACTAACTTGTTGTAAACTGTTAAAGATAATTAAGACATGCAGATTAATAGTCACCTTATAAATGATCAAATTCTTTACAAATGTAATTCATTTGCAGGGGCAAGCGTTATTTAGCTTCCTATATATGTAGCACAAGTAACTAAAAACAAGTAAGGTTTATTTAAAATTAGGTATACTTAATAAACAGCTCTCAAACTTTTCAGAGATCCGCTGAATATGGCACTTGAGATGTCTAATGTCAAAAACTTACTGTGACAGACAAAGATTCCAGCTCCTGGAAGCAACCCTGAGGTATCCAAAGAAGATAACGGGGACACAACAACTCCACCTGGATTGTGGTAAGGCTAACCATTGGGGAAAACTGCCCCATGCCTCCCCTGCTGCCAGGGCTCTGCTCACACCACGAACACTGTTGGTTTGTTTTCCTGTGTCTGGTCAACATAAGGTCAGTCCCCCAGCTTCTTCCTTTACAGGAAAATCTCTCAGACCTGGGTCTGGCAGCCAAAAGCCAATGCTGTCCTGTATCATAGCTGAAGATTTAATGCCGTCCTGTATGACAGTCTAAGACCTACAACCATTGCCCTTAGTGAAGCCATCAAGGCCAGCAGAGCCCAAGGCAACCATCCAGGTAATGGGTAAGTCTCTGTCACTTTAATTGCTATGCAGGCTATTCAGATTAAACTTTCTGCTGTAACTTATCCTTCTCAGATCTCTGGTTGTGTTGATAGCTAACTATAACTTCATCAATTTAGCAGCAGCTGCTTGGTTAATGCATTTCACATATAAAAACCAGGCCTTCCTTTCAAGAGCTTTTAGGTCACTTGATTAAAAAAGGCAAACTCACAGGCAGCTTTGCCTTACTAACAGGCTCCATATTGAAGGATAAACAGGTTTCAGATGAAACTTTTATTATTTAAAGAACTTGCTTTGCAAATAATATTACAAACAATGGTATTGAAGCAGGGGATGGTGGCGCACACCTTTAATCTCAGCACTCCTGAAGCAGAGGCAGGTGAATCTCTGTGAGTTTGAGGCCAGCCTGGCCTACAAAGTGAGTTCCAGGACTCTGTTACACAGTGAAACCCTGTTTCAGAAAAAAAGAAAAAGAAAAAAAAAACAAAAAACAAAAAACAAACAAACAAACAAAAAAAAAACCACCTACCCCTCTGCACAAAACGAAAACAAAAAACCAAAAAAACAAAACAATGGTATTGTAAGCTTCAGGGAGTAAAAAAAAAAAAAAATAAAATCATAAGACTTAGATCCACCTCTCAGGTCAAATGGATGCCAGATAAGTACCCCTGTCAATCAACAGCCTAAGCTCCCTGCCGATTGCCTATTCCTCTGTGTGTGTGTGTGTGTGGGGGGGGGTTCCAAATATAAAAGTTTACTTTAAGTTCTTTTACTTTAACTTCTGTCCCTAGTGTGTATCTGTCTTGTCAGAGTTCCACTCAGCTGGTAAACCCCATCCAGAAATCAGCTGTGGTCTACAAACTGCTCCAAAGGTTATCTACACACTCAGGTAGTCCTATTAAACTGAAGCCCTGGACTTGCTGAAAGCTGATGTAAACCAGTCTAGTCAATGTGATTGCTCCCTGTCTCTTCAGCTGCCTCAGTAAACCAGATGCTTCTGATGAATACCCCATTGCCCAAATCCCGTCCTGTCTTTGTAGACGAATTTCTAATTAAATATCACCACATGTCTTGGCTGATATTCTAGCCTTCCTGTGTCCTGAAAACAGCATCCTAACTTCAGCAGGAGTTACAAAGGAGAATACATCACCCCTTGTCCTCAACAAAGGTCTAAGGAAATTCCCTGGCAAAGGGGACAAAATGGCTATGATTATATGGCTTAAAAATATTTGTTCTAGCTACGCCAACCAAACAGGTATAATTTATAAATGAGCAATGCATCTTTTGATGCATTACAAATTTTGTTTCCCCCAGATAAAGAATGCTAAGACCTTATCAAGGGTTTACCTGGGACACACATGACAAGGGGGAATGAAGAACCAGCCTGCTTCCATCTTAGGTTTAAGAGCCATCTTACAGTAAGGACAAACTAAGTTTATTCCTGTTTATATTAAGCCTCTGTTTCTCAAAGATTGGGTGATGTGCCCATCTGAACTTTTTTTTCTTCTAGTTTCTCACAACAGAAAAACTTTCTCTGTGTAATCGATATGGCTGTCCTGGAACTCGCTCATGTAGACCAGGCTGTCCTCAAACTCATTGAGATCTGCCTGTCTCTGCCTCCCAAGAACTGGGATTAAAGTCGTCTGCCCGGTCCCATCTGTAACGTAACTGCCAATGGTTCTGTACCGCCTGTTCCAGGAATAGCAATCATATCTTTCTTTCAAAAAGTTGTTTATAACCATGTTGTACCCCCATCTTTGCTTCAAAAGGTTGTATGACCACCTATGATGACCTTGTTATGATTGCCTGTTGTGATGATCTTTCTTGGACCACCTGCTTTGTTCTGATCCTGTAACACTGCCTATTTCCTCCCATTTGAAAACCCCCACCTCTGAGCTGTAAAAGCCTTGTCTCCCTCACGTCCAATGCTGATCTCCGGAACCCTGCCTTAGGGGGAGGCAGCCTGTGTACATGAATAAAAACGCTTGCTTTAATTAATGACATGCTGTAGTTAATTTGGCCATGATGATTTGGGTCAGTGGCCTTTCTCCTCCCATCTTTGGGATTAACACTTCCTCTTCATCTCTCACTACCTCCCCTCTCCCTCTCCCCTAATGGTCAAGTCTAGTCTGCTGGATATCTTCAATCTATTACTTTCTCTGCTCTGGACTCTTCCAGATACATCTGGATGTTTTCATTCTCATGTCTATAATAGAAAACCTTCTGCTTTAACTTGGAGCAGTTACACCATCAATTTATACAGTCTTAGTGCTGGAGATGGAGCCCAGGTCCCTGTACAAGCACCGTGCCACCGAACTATGTTTGGTGGTGGGGAACAACAGGTGTGCAAACAGGTGAAACCAGGCTTGACCGTGGCAATGCTGGGACACTGCATGTTTGTAAACAGGCAAGCCCAGGCCACCACATGGTGGTGCTGAGACATGGCATGAATGCAAAACAGGCACATCCAGGCCACCAGGTGGTGGTGCAGGAACGCAGAAAGCAAATGAACAGGCATGCTCTCAGAGCCACGTGGCAGCAGTGCTGGGACAATGTGTGAGTGTAAACAGGTGTGCCCAGGCCACCATCTGGTGTCATTGGGTTACAACAGACATGAGAAAATGCATGCCTATGTCGCCACTTGGCACAAATGAGCTGCTGCTGGGACCTGAGCCCAGGGGTGTTCAGATCGCCAGAGCTTACCCTATTCGTCTTAAACTGGTAAGAAACAAGGACCTACAAAGGGGAGTCTCATCTGGGTGCTGCATGGCCCTTGTTCTCCCTCTCTAGTACTCATTTTCCCAACTGCACAGAATGCTGGTGGCTGACAGAGCAGAGCTGGGTCCCTCACCAGGAATGTCCCTTGCCTGAAGACAGCCGGGGAAATCAGGACAGGAAACATGCAACTGATCAAGCCTGTTTGCACTCAACTGAGCCCCATACTTGACACCTCTTGAGCATCATCACATCTATCACATGAACTTGAGACCTGTGAAGATCACTTGGAACAGGCAAGGGGTAATGTACATACACCCCGGTGCACAGTATAGTGATTGGTATGTATATGTGTCAGCTTGCCCACAGCCTACTCACAAGGAGATGGCCAAGGGTTTGTGTGACTTCACCAGGGCAGGTAGCTGAACGTTGACTATAAAAAGCAGCAGTCTGGCCGGCCGGTGGTGGCACACGCCTTTAATCCCCCCACTTGGGAGACAGAGCCAGGTGGATCTCTGTGAGTTCAAGGCCAAGCCTGATCTACAGCCACAGAGCAAGATCTAGCACAGGCACCAAAACTACACAGAGAAACCCTGTCTCAAAAAACAAAAACAAACAAACAAAAAAAAAAAAAAAACAAAACAAAGCAGCAGTCTGCTTAGCATACTACTAAGACATAGTATGATCATTATAAAGATGGTTAGGACTTTCTGATTTTTCCTTTGTACTGCAAGAAGTTATCTTGTGATTTACTGACCTACAATTTCATACATGTATAAAAGATGTTTTGATCATATTCACCCATTACCCTCTCTCATTCCCCATCAGTCCCCCTCCTGTCATGTCTTCTTAAAAACTTTTTGCTTTGTTTGTTTTTGGAGATGTAACAGCCCTGGCTGTCCTGGAACTCACTTTGTAGACCAGGCTGGCCTTGAACTCACAGAGATCTGCCTGCCTATGTCTCCCAAGTGCTGGGATTAAAAGTGTATGCCACCACTGCCCGTCAAAATTAGAATTTTATTTTTCCCTTATAACTACAATAAAAACCTTCTCTATACTTTAGGAGCGGTCATATCCTCCTTTATTTCATTTTTTTCAGTGAGCAGCTGGAACTTGGGTCCTTTGGAAAAGCAGCAAGTACTTTTAACCATTGAGCCACACCTCCAGCCCCACAATGTCTTTTTGTTTTCTAATGACCCACTACGTTTAATTAGGGTTACTTGCACGAGCACCTTCCCAGTGGCTATAGTACTGAAGAACAATAATTTCCCCTCCCCTAGCAGTCATTGACTGCCCACAGCTCCCAAGTGACAATGTCTGTAAGTCAGAACGTGGGCTTGAAGGAGGGATACCTATTCTGAAGTGGAAAGAAGGAAGTCAGGGAGCAGGAGCCCTGAAGGGAAGGCTGATGATGGAGGTCGGAATGGGTGTGAACAGTTTGAGACTGAGGCTCACTGCAGTCCAGAGAGGCTTGGACTGTGTAGCCCAGACTGGCCTCAAACTCATGGCCATCCTCTGGCCCAAGTCGTGGAACACAGGGATTACAAGTATGAGCCATCATAAAAGATCTTAAGTACCAGATATTTACTGAGAGAATGGCAGGGCAGCTTTGAAACCGGAACAGTACATGGATGTGACAGGTTAGAGCTGGGCCCCAACTGCTTCCTTCTGCTTACTTTGAAATGTCAAACTTCGGAAAAGGTGTAAAGATCCTTCTACCTCTCAGAGACTTTTTTTACCCTGCACACCAACTTCCAGACGGCCAACACACACACCGTAGCCTCCTTTCTTTAAAATCATCTTCCTCAATGAACTGTGGAACAAACAACAAACACCCCACCCTAACCCGGGTGTTTTTTGTTTTGTTTGAGACAAGGTCTCACTCTGTAGCCAAAGCTATCCTAGAGCTGTTCAGTTTAGGCTGGCCTGGAACTCGTGGCAATCCAGCTGCCTCGGCCCCCAAATTCTGGGATTAAAAACATGAGCCGTCATGCCTGGCTCTGGCTGACCCTCATTCGCACTTGAGGCCTCAGCTACTCCTTAGAGCACCCCTAAGCCTTGGTTTCCACGACAACCTGAGTTAACAGGACCAGCTCGGTCCTAAACCCTCAGTTCCACAGAGCCTTAGTATTAAGCCCAGTGGGGCTCCTGCGCAGCCGCGGACTGTCTGGAGAGGAAGGGGCGTGGTCCTGAGCGGAAGAGCAAAGTCCCCAAATGGAAGTAGTCGGAACCCGGAACCAGTGAGAACGCAGGACTAGCCGGAGCCCGGAAGTGCGGACTAGCATTGCGGCTTTTCCGGAAGCTCAGGTTTAAGCATGGTTTTGGGAGGCAAGGAACCCAAGAGAAAGAAGGGCCGGGAGCGGAGGTGAGTGGCGCGCGGCGTTGGTGTGGGTAGGGGGTGGTGAGTGACGCGCGGCGTGGCTGAGAGTGTGCCTGTGTTTGCAGACAGAGCTCTGAAGATGGCGTGGGGAATGCGGCCGCCGACTACCTGGTGGGACAGGTCGCCGACAGCCTGCGGGGCGGCCAGCGCCCTCCTGGAGGCGGGACTGGACGGCTGGCCGCTCTCTTCAGCACCGCGGAGCCGCGGGCTCCACCTGTGTTTGTGCCTGTGCCCCAGGTGAGTCGCCGGGGCTGCGTCTTGAGTGTCCCTTTAGAACTAGGTCGAGGGGGTAACTCGCCTGACAGCCGTAGCTGTCGGGGCCCATGAGCTGGGCAAGCACTTCACCCTCAGCCCTATTTATTGATTGACAGGGTCTCTTGTAACTATTTAGGACTCAACTTCTATAATGTACCCAAGGATGATCTTAAACTCCCGATCCTCCACCAGCTTCTTGAGTGCTGAGATTACAGGGCTGCTCCATCATATCTGACTTTTTTATTTTAAGACAGGGTCTCACTAGTTGCCCAGGCTGATCTTTAGCACAAGCTGTGTACTCCTGCCCCAGCTTTCCACTGAATGGCTGGTATTACAGGCATGTGGACCAAGCCCACCAACTATGGTTTCATGACTAATGTCAAGAATTCTCGGCTTCTCTCTATAACAAATGAGGAAGAAGTATCAATTGAGAAAGACACCACAGTATTGCTCAGGGGTTTGGAGCCAGGGACTTTGCTATGTAGCCCTGGTTGGCCTGTCACAGCTCCTCCTGCCTCCACATCCTGAAAGCTGGAATCACAGGCAGAGGCCACGACACACAGCCTTGGGGTCAGAATTTTTAAGAGTTTGACATATTAAGTATGACTTGACACTTTTGAAAGGAAACCTCTAAAAAGAGAAAACCTGATGATGATGAAGAAGAAAGTACATCCCAGATGACAAAGCCAGCTTTGCAAAAACCTGCAAAAAAAGCGAAAGTGAAGAAACTCTCTGATGCAGACAAGAGGCTGGCAAACAGGTTGGTGAAATTCTCCCTTTGGTTGTGTTTAAATGCATCAGGCAGTTTTTAAAAATGAATGTTATCTTAATTTTTTCTCATTGCATATTTCTAAAATTAAAAAATACATTATATAAAATCTCATAGTAGACAGAGTTAAAAATGTAAGAAACCCATTTATCCAAAGTGATGAGTTACTGCTAGATCAGCCTTTCAGATCTTTAACTTTACTTCTGTCCCTGCCTGTTATTTCTGGGCCATCCTTGTTCCCTGCAGGTTGGAAGTAACCCTGTGGTTTATGTCAGTGTTTCAATATGTCTGTCAAACATGAGTTTGGTTTTTCATTTGGGAACCAAGTTTCCCTCATTAACTTAAATTCTTTCACAGAATAGAGTCAGTATCCAAATAGCTACACCATTATTACTTTTCCAGTTATTGTTCTGCACTGTCTTTTGGGAGATGAGGTAGGGCAGGAGTTTCTTATATCCCAGGTGGGCCTTGAACTCACTGTGTAACCTGAGCTGTACTTTAGCTTCTGACCCTCCCACCTCTATTTCCCAATTCTGGATTGTAGCCATGTGACACAAAGTCTTGGCTTTTAATTCCTTTCCACTCCTTCAAACCTATTTTCTTGGGCTGAAGAGATGGCTCCGTGGTTAAGAGCGCTGGCTGCTCTTCCGGAGAACCTGAGTTCAATTCCCAGCCACCACATGGTGGCTCATCACCGTCTATAATGAGATCTGATTGCCCTCCTCTGGTATACAGAGATATGTGCAGACAGAACACTCACATATATTTTATTATGTTTATTGTATGTGTGTGTGTTGGTGCGCCCATGCCATGGTGGCATGTGGAAGTCAGAGAACAACTCATAGGAGTCCATTTTCTGATTCTGCTATCTGGGTCACAGGGATCAGATTGGGCTCACCCAGCTTGGTGACAAATGCCATTACCTGCTGAGTGAGCCTTTGTGCTACCCCCACCTCCCATCACTCATGTTCTGAGGACTGGTTGTTGCTAACACTTGCTAACTGGTAGATTCTGTGAGTGATATTTCTGTTCTCTCTTGCTTCTGTTTTCTCTCCAAATTAAATTAAAGTGAACACCTTTTCTTCAGATTCCTCTTAGGAAACTATGTCTCCTCAGAGTTCATGTTAGTCGTCTTCTCATAATTGTTCTATGTAGGCACTGCCATGGATGTCTGTCTTGATCTCTCAACCTTTCCAGTCTTGACTGGCAGCATCTGCACCTGTGTGTTCCTTGTTCACCTTAAGATAATGCTTCATGAGGCTAGGGATGTAGCTCAGTTGGTAGAGTGTTTGCCTAACACACAAGGCCCTAGGTTCAGTCCCTAGCTCTTGCCTAAACCGTGTGTGGTAACACATACTTGCAGTCCCAGCATTTGAGAACTGGAAGCACTAGGATCAGAAATTCAGGGCTATCCTGGACTATACAGTGAGTCTGAGGCCAGCCTGGGCTGCAGAAAGTCCTTTCTTAAAACAAAAACCAAAAGCAAAATAATGCTTCAAACTGAAATCCTCCTACGTTAATGGCACTTCACATCTAGTTAGTTGTCTAAGTCAATGCTCTCCCAATTCCACGTAGAATTCCTAGTTGTTAAGCCCTGAAGCTGTTGTTGTTGTTGTTGTTGTCGTCGTCGTCGTCGTCGTCGTCATCTTCTTCTTCTTCTTTTTTTTTTTTTTTTTTTTGGTTTTTCGAGACTAGGTTTCTCTGTGTAGCTTTGGAGCCTGTCCTGGAACTCACTCTGTAGCCCAAGTTGGCCTCAAACTCACAGAGGTCCGCCTGCCTCTGACTCCTGAGTACTGGGATTAAAGGTGTGTGCCACCACCGCCCCAGTATCTTTTCTTTTTTTTTTTTTTTTAAATAAAAAGAATAGTCTAACTACTATGTTTTTGTAAGCCAGTCTGTTATTCCTGAGCTGAATATCCTCCTGCCGTAGCTTCGAGTCATTGAAATAGTACTGTTCTTTAATTCTCTTTAGTTTGTCCTCCTTCCTTCTCCATCCTTGCTCTGGCTGGCCTGCTTTTTCTTGTGCGTTCGTGACTGTATCTTTCCTGTTCACTCTTAAACACCTTGTTCCCTTTCCATCTTCTGTGTGCCTGCCTTCCTGCCTGCCCTCCCACCCTCTTTCCTTCCTTCCTTCCTTCCTTCCTTCCTTCCTTCCTTCCTTCCTTCCTTCCTTCCTTCCTTCCTTCCTTTCTTCCTTCCTTCCTTCCTTCCTTCTTCCCTCCTTTCCTTTCTGTAGTGCAAAGCTAGGGGGTGGGGGGTGGTAGCAGCTCATGCCTTTAATCCCAGCACTTGGCACTTGGGAGGTAGAGACAGGTGGATCTCTGTGAGTTCAAGGCCAGCCTGGTCTACAAAGTGAGTTCCAGGACAG